ATAAGCAGATGAATGGGCAAATGAGTAAGGGATGAATTCTGAGTTCCACAAACGTGAGTACCAAGTAATCTCGCCTACCACTGGATATCTTTTCGTCTTTGTCCTGCAGACTTGAGTATTCTTCGCTTTCGGAAACAGTCAACTTCGCTTACCGCTTCCTTCTTGACTTCCGCCATAGTCGTGTACAGATGGCGATGAAGTAGGGAATTTCGAAGAATCCTTAGCATAATTAAGGAAAATAATCCTAACATATCGATTGGTAGGAGTAGAAACTCATGGGCGATTAATTTGGGTCCTAGTGACTGAATGGTCTACGAGCTCGCCTTGTAACTGGAAGGTTCTGAATTAGAACTCCGGTGAGTGCATACTGTAAAGAATACCAATCTAGGTAGGAGGGGGGGGGGGAACAGCTCTCCAGTACAGCCAGCTGATTTTCAGTGCTTCTCTAACTGATATCAATCTGTGACCGAACTTGAGACAAATCAACTCCCTACAAATTAACTCTTGAATGGCAAGAAGAGCCGTAAAGTGAGATTAATCTGACACAGGTAATGTCAATTAGCTAGTTGATGCAAAGCTTTCCACTCTCCAACTGACAAAAGCGAATGAGTTGTCTGCACGCAAACATGAATTGCATTCACCGTTTATTCTACTGCAATAAATAATGGATGAACAAATCAATGATTGAATGAATGAATAGATAAATAAATAATTAAGCAAGGGGGAGAAAGTCAGATTGCTGGATAAACGCACTCACTCGTACACATACACACAATGGAATTATCAGCATTTTATTTCAAATTTGCACCAGAATGCATGCACTCACATTCACACACGCGCGCACACGCACACGAACACCCACACGCACACTACAGAGAGAGAGAGAGAAACAGACGCGCATGGTATAACAAGATTAGATTGACAATGATGGTTGGAGAAATTGAAACTGCTAACAAACACTTCGATAATGAATACAGAGGATATTTTAGTGAAAATGTCTTACTGAAATCAAAGATGTGATGAATGAGACGGATGAAAATTAAACCATTAACCTGCTGCCATACGATCACGCATAACGGAAGCTGTTTTCTCTTTGTACTTTGATTTCAACGATAAAACAATTAGTGGATTGCATTCCTTTTCATCGGAACAGATATATAACGAGAAGGATGGGAAGTTCCCCTTTCTCTTTCTCTCTCTCCCCCTGCCTGATTGCTAAAATTAAAGCGAAATCTTCATTCCTTCATCTTCCCATTCTCCAATCTTGTCTAGTTTTCTTCTCACACTGTAACCAATTAGCTTTATAGACTAACTAACACTAACGCTATTATCCTCAATGTCACTGTTAGTTTTGGAGTTTAGTCAATTTTCAACGAGGATAATTTTCGATGCACTAACAATACCAGTTCATATCGAATAAGCAGGAAATTCCTCTCTTCCTCGTCGCCCATGCATGCATGGATGCGATCTCCAAGTACATTTGACAAATTGAAATGCCTTATAGTGGATAGAATAGTCAGGTTCGATTGCTAATTAACGATTAGATACTAGCCAGATGGTTGGTGACAGACAGTTAAGTAGTATGAGGTGTTGTTCTATGCTGGCTAATCGAATATTCAATCTAACAAACATAACTCCGTCTTTCTTCGTTCACAAACATGAGAAAGTAAACAGAATACAAGTGATTGCCACTATGTTTCTATCTCATTTCCCGTCGACAAATATATGTAGTAGCATTCGAGTGCAAAGTATTCATATTCTGCGATGCATTTCGCATAACAAACAAACAAGTAAACAAACACTCCACAAATGGTAGAGGTCAAATTAAGAGGAATCAGATCCACCACCAGTATCACCATTCTCATTCGACGATCCACTAAGCTGATGAGCTGAAAGTTTGACACGTATTATTCTTCTTCGCCCACTAGAGGGACCCAGACATGCGATAGTCTGCAAATATCTCTGACTAAATTTCCTTGTGGTCCATCCTCTTTTCTTTGAAGTCTGTTTGAGCATTCAAGAATTTTGAAGGGGATCATGTGATCTAGAAGGGCAAAGAAGAAAGTATTTGGGAAAGTTTTGTGTCTTTTATATATATCCGGGTGAAATGCTGACCGCACCTATAATTAGTTATGAAGAGCATGTCTAAGAGGAGAGAGGGATGCTTTATGAATCCTCAACAAATCTCAGACGGTGTCAGCGATGGTACAGCGATGATGACAGTCAGATATATTAATGCAAATAGAAACAGTCGTCTGCCATACACCAGCTTATACAAGCTTTTAAAACATACCCAGGATGGAAGAACTATCCAATGTATCACTAGGAGATTTAGGGAACTGAAGCATTGCCCATCGATATCCTGATGAATGACTTGTCAAAACCTTGTAAAGTAGGCCGATTTAATAAACCTCCTATGGTGTAGAGGAGAGTGATAAGTGTGATGATGATGATGACGACGTTGATGTTGATAGTCAACACACTACTAGTAATCCGGGCATTTTCCTCTGACTAGTCCACATCCCTTCCTTCATTCCATTGTTTATCAGGACGGGATGGTGCATCAGTCTCTCAGTGTTATCTATCAATCGGGGATGAACACGTGTTGAGTTTTAAATATCGTTGAGGTTGTACACTGCTTAGAACATCCAAACAATTAAATAGGTGCTACTGACCAACTAATTATTATTATTATTATTATAACAGTTGGATCACTGTAATCGTGGTGCAGGCGGACGATGATATTGCAAGTGTAGAACACGTTGGACAGTCATGATGGTTGCTCCCGTCATGTGTGTGTAACGCTCTATCGGTGCTAATTTACACGAGTGGCTTCATTGAAAGCGAATGTCTAGAGCTAGTGAGTGAGTGTCATTAGAGAGGTGAGATGCACACTATCAGGTAAAACACAAACAAATAGACAGACAGACAAACGAGGAAACAAACTGACGAATATGACAAAAGACAAACAAGACAATAAGCAAAGATCAGTCACATAAATCTCTTCCCCCTGCTATCGTATCCTATTAACCTAGTGATTAGATCTACAAGTGGATTACTTCCAGCTGGACAGGTGAATGCGGGTTTTGTAAACTTATTGGTTTGTCAAGCTATAGAGTGATCAAGTGGGTGTATGGAAATGAGAGCGGGAGAAGGGGAGAGTGAAAATGTATTCTTGATATTTCCTCTCATATTATTTCTCCACTTCACTACCATTACTGTCACTATTGCTGATTTGCTTAATATTAACAACAACAATATTAATGACTTTGACTCCAACATTATTATTGTTATTGTCGTTGCTGTTGTCGTTGTTATCATTGTTATCGTTATTATTATTGCTTTGATTACGTTCAGTGTCATTACTGGGATTGTCACTATTATCTTACTGCGTCTGAATTGTATCCTTATTAGAAATTCAATTCCATAAGGGAGGTGGGGATAGATGGATACATACAATATTGACGAGTTCAAAAGAGTGACACACGTATCTTGTTTTTATTGGTAATTTGGGTTTCTTATTGCTCACTTAGACGAATCTGTGATCTTTTCATTTTGTCATAGTATCATTAAGTGGTGCAACTTCACGATGTTTTCCAGCACTTGTGTTGGTTATGCATAGCTGATATTAAACACCGAAATGTTTAGAGTTAAGCGAATCAGGAGTGAAAACAGATCTCTTAGGTTGAAGTTGAAAGGTGATTTTTATTTGACTGAAATCGCCTCACACCCAAATCTTTTAATCCTTGTCTACCTAAAGCATGGGATAGACTTCTTCATCTCTGAAGTCTGTTCTGTGGAAGTATTCCTACGAATGACGACTTCTTATCAGGACTAAATGTTCATCACATGCATCAAAATACTCCGGGGTTCTCGAGGCAAATTTGTTTGGTTAGTTTTTTTTCATCTGTTGTATTCACATGCAGTAGACTATGTATTCTTGCTTCACATATCGCATGACGATCTCTCAAAACGAGTACTAATTGTTTCACAAGTACTGTAACACTGATTTACTCAAATGTCGCCCGGACATTCAGCCGCCTATTGAGATTTAACTCCACATATCTTACACAATTCCCCAATGACAATGGGAGAAATGGTGTTCTTCACGATCACTCAGGAATAACTCAGCACTAGCCTTCACAGTCATTCTCTATTCAATTCCCAGTGAATTTTAAACTGTTCACTTCACTCAACATCAGATCAAGCACTTCGTGTCACTCTCAATGGCATACTTATCATTTTTGTTATAAATTGTCAATCTGTGAAATCGATTTAATCAATCATTGACAAGTAGGACAGTCTGAGTGAAATTTATTCCATATTTTCATTAACATTCATTATCTCCTCTCTGTCAAATAACACGTGTTCAGATGTACTCACATTTTCAGACGGATAAAATAGGATCAATGGAGAAATACAAACAATAAATACATTGTTATTATTATTTCCCACACACACACGCACGCACGCACGCACACACACACACACACTGTTGAAGAGAAGTGGGAGATTGTTTGTTCTTGTAGCTGTGTAACAAATAGCGTTACAAAACTAATCCCACTCCCGTCAGATCCAGTCTAGGTTGGGGTGAGATCATCAACTCTACCCTCAACGCGAAAGCTTCATCCCTTTGTTGCACTCCACTCTACTATAAACAATTATTGTATGATATGATTATGTGACTTGCCCCCATCTCCAAAATAATCACCTCTGAGCTGACTTCATATGTGACAATGAGCTGAATAGTAGTAAGTGATAGTTCCCATGTCAATCCGTTACATAACTAATGAGTCAGTCGGATAACTAGTCAATGAAATGTGATATATACATTTATACATGAAAATAATTATCATGACAATTACTAGAGGAGATGGTAATCATATTGGCATTAGAATAAATGAATATTAATATGAAAACATTTATTTTGAATAGAAATTGTTCGCTTAGCATAGGAAGTAATGACACCAAGGTGTTCTACCTATTGTAATCTGAGTTGATTAATATGATGCTATGACTAAGCACTCAGTAAGCAAAACCAAACCAACTGTACAGTTCATAGGTAGCCTAATCATGAGCCCTAGAGTGTACGGGAGATGATGAATGCCACAACCACCATTGACATCATCACCATCATCATCGTCATCATCATCATCATCATCAGCAGCAGCAGCAGCAGCAGCAGCAACAACAACAACAACAACAACAATAGTCATTGTTTTCAAGATAGACACGACTAATTCCTGAACATAATCCATCTGTTTCAAATCCTACTGAAAATCCTGTGTACTCCTTGTTCTTATTGTTTTCGCAAGTTCGACTTCATAGGTGAGCACTGTCTGAGCTTGAAAAGTCAACTTCGAAGATGAATTGGCTAACCGTGATGTATGGACAACGAGGGGATGTTCACTGAATCAATACTCAGTGGTGATCATAGCTAAATGAAGTACACTAGACACCGAGAGTGGATTAATGTCAACTTCAATCAATATCACCACTGTCAGCTACATTCTCATCAGTCATTTTCCTTGATAGAGATAAGCTCGTGTCTCTCTCCCCTTGATGATCTGAGATGAATTCACCGTGCTTAACTTCATATTTAAGGGGACTTCGTCACCATTTCTTATTTCTACCTCCCAAGATTAATTGGCGATAATATCTGTAGTCAGTTGCTTGTAGGACATACATTTCGGTTTCCAACTCACATATGCCTGTTGTCACAAGACACATCTGAGTGAAGATCAAAGTCGTCGCGGCGTGTTCCCGCCAACAGCATAGCAAACGCCACAACAGATATTCAATCTGCGCGAAACGGTTGATAAGACGCCTTCAAAACTGACAGACATAACACCTGATATGATTACAGCATTGCTGTAGTCCCGTGAAACAAAATCAACTACCCGACAGCCTCCATTCCGCGTATACAATTAAGCTAAGCAAAGCACATCGAGTTTGATTTGCAATAGATCATATCTGCACCCGACACCTATTACTCCGAAGATATAAATATGTATGCAAATGGTGTGTCTGGTGTTCGACTGTAAATCCTTCAGTCAGTAGTAATGAATTTTCTATTATATAATACTGCAGCATTACATCAACTTACCCATAGTTCTCATCATTTCGTTTGGTGAACAGACCTAAATAAATCCTGGAAACGCCAATCAATAGGCATTAGTATTTTTGGAAAATTAATTAATCACACTGTGACGCAAGTATACAGATACACTTGACTCAGTGAATTCAATAGTGAAATATTCTATTTCTAAACTTCAATTATGATGATAGCTGGTAGCAGTGTCAGAAAATGCATTGGTCATAGTAGCATGGAAGAATACTCCTATACGGACGAGCTCATGAAATCGAAATCACCTAATGTAGAATCGACACGCAAATGTTGTATGGTTCTCTTTGTGATAAGTGAACGTCATTTCGTTGGTTTGACGCAGTCGAAAACAAAACAATGGATGTATTTCGAACTGACGAAGACAACGACGCTGACGAGTTACTCGAGAGACTGACTGCCACAGTGGGAAATTCTTTCAACTCCACTTGAATAGATTCTATGCTATTCTTACTATCTACTTTTCGGAAGAGATTATTCCTACTGCCATACAATCTTCACACTAAAGTGTGGTTTGTCATGTCACGTATTACAATAGGGTCAAATTTAGTGATGACATACATTACTGGAGGGGGAAAAGGGAAAATCTTCGACGCGATCCTACTTAAACCAGATTCAATTAAATCATTTTCGCAGTATGCCATAGAGGCACTAAGGGAAATACAGTTCGATGAAGAGCAATACTAGTGTGTTTGCCTCATACAACTCAATTCCTTGTTAACGACAATGAATAAAAGTATTACATCAAGAATCAGAAATGCTCCCTAAAATTCGATGAGTTTTACGAGGAAGTCACTGAGGATGATGGTGATGATGAGTAACTGAATAACCAGTGGTATTTTCCATCATCATCACCAATCTGAAGCAGTCGTAGAGTCCTCTGATTCCTAGTAAAGCAAAGTCAGGTTTTACCACTGGTATTCACAATTTAGGATGGCTAGATTTCTAATAATGGATGCTACACATTAACGACAGAGTGGAATAACTGAATTTCAAGTGCTTTCTCCAATCTTCGCACCTTTTATCCTTGAATCTACCAGTGATTTAACATGGATGTTTAATTTTCCCTTTACTACATTCGCGTCTGTCTCAGTGTAATTATCCATTTTGTGACTCAATTGTACAACATATGCACACAGCTTTACCAGTGGATATTTATTTCTCTTTCATGCTAGGATGAAATGGAATATCCACACACACACACACACACGCATACACGCATACACGCTCACACACACAGAGGAACAAATAGATGCACGCGAACATTAGATGTCATTTACACTAGCATCCATCTGTCAACGCAATCTCGATTATTATATTCCATTTGTCCGCATACAAAAATGCATACTCGGTGAAAATTAATCTACACAGGATATGATAATGTGAGCTGAAAAAATCAATTGAAGCATGCGTGTTCTATGGGAAGTGCAATCACTATAGAGCTGTAGGTGGATGTGACATGCCGACACAAGTGCACACTAAATGTTGTACACATACGTGAACAAAGTTATAGCGCTGAAATCACACAAACTCAAGCACGTGCACACATACACACACAGTCACTCACTCGCATGCACACGATGAAAGATTTGAGTTCATATTGATGATCGACAGGCTATTCGCTTATTTTAATTATCGAATTGTTGATGTAAACCCCCTGGAGGCTAAATTCATTGAGAATTGTGTAACAGATGGAGGATCATTTCATTACTTAATATTCCTCTCTTTTTCTCCTGCCTGTCTGCTTGTCTATTCAGCCGTGTATCCACTTTATATTCTGGTGTCTTTTGTCTCATCACTTCTGTCTCACATTTCACTGGTTATTGTGAGTGTTGGAAATCCATTGAAGTCAATCTCTCACCTGACACCATCCACCACCACACAGTCAGTAGTCAGATCATATCTTACAATAAATAGTTTATTACATTTGTTTGTTTGTTTCATTCGGGCTGTTTGACTGCTCAAAGTTGGGTTTTTACTGAGAATGTATACTGAGAATGATAAAAGGAAGTTACGCATGAGTTAACGGGGCCACATGTCACTTTTGTAGAATTTCACCATCAAAATTTCTATCCCTACGCATCTTACGTCGTCTGTACTTCGTAAAATCGATTACATTTATCTACTTATGCATGCATACATAAGTCGATGATTGGAGGTGCTATCAAATTTACTTATCTAATAGCCACAATAATAATAAAAGATTTATTTCAGAGAGTATTTTTCATACACTTTGGAATTATCAGCATGTAGTGCATGCAATAGTGCATCTCCTTTTCGCTTCACACTGCATTTCAAGGGTGGTGTAGTTCCATTCTGAGTGTGTTAGTTTATTCGCCTACATATTTACTGAAAAACGCATAGAAGCACACAAATGTTCTGTCATACGTTGTCGACCTCAGTTCGCCTATTGAGTTAAATCTCAATAGGCGGCTGAATGTCCGGGCGACATTTGAGTAAATCAGTGTTACAGTACTTGTGAAACAATTAGTACTCGTTTTGAGAGATCGTCATGCGATATGTGAAGCAAGAATACATAGTCTACTGCATGTGAATACAACAGATGAAAAAAAACTAACCAAACAAATTTGCCTCGAGAACCCCGGAGTATTTTGATGCATGTAATGAACATTTAGTCCTGATAAGAAGTCGTCATTCGTAGGAATACTTCCACAGAACAGACTTCAGAGATGAAGAAGTCTATCCCATGCTTTAGGTAGACAAGGATTAAAAGATTTGGGTGTGAGGCGATTTCAGTCAAATAAAAATCACCTTTCAACTTCAACCTAAGAGATCTGTTTTCACTCCTGATTCGCTTAACTCTAAACATTTCGGTGTTTAATATCAGCTATGCATAACCAACACAAGTGCTGGAAAACATCGCGAAGTTGCACCACTTAATGATACTATGACAAAATGAAAAGATCACAGATTCGTCTAAGTGAGCAATAAGAAACCCAAATTACCAATAAAAACAAGATACGTGTGTCACTCTTTTGAACTCGTCAATATTGTATGTATCCATCTATCCCCACCTCCCTTATGGAATTGAATTTCTAATAAGGATACAATTCAGACGCAGTAAGATAATAGTGACAATCCCAGTAATGACACTGAACGTAATCAAAGCAATAATAATAACGATAACAATGATAACAACGACAACAGCAACGACAATAACAATAATAATGTTGGAGTCAAAGTCATTAATATTGTTGTTGTTAATATTAAGCAAATCAGCAATAGTGACAGTAATGGTAGTGAAGTGGAGAAATAATATGAGAGGAAATATCAAGAATACATTTTCACTCTCCCCTTCTCCCGCTCTCATTTCCATACACCCACTTGATCACTCTATAGCTTGACAAACCAATAAGTTTACAAAACCCGCATTCACCTGTCCAGCTGGAAGTAATCCACTTGTAGATCTAATCACTAGGTTAATAGGATACGATAGCAGGGGGAAGAGATTTATGTGACTGATCTTTGCTTATTGTCTTGTTTGTCTTTTGTCATATTCGTCAGTTTGTTTCCTCGTTTGTCTGTCTGTCTATTTGTTTGTGTTTTACCTGATAGTGTGCATCTCACCTCTCTAATGACACTCACTCACTAGCTCTAGACATTCGCTTTCAATGAAGCCACTCGTGTAAATTAGCACCGATAGAGCGTTACACACACATGACGGGAGCAACCATCATGACTGTCCAACGTGTTCTACACTTGCAATATCATCGTCCGCCTGCACCACGATTACAGTGATCCAACTGTTATAATAATAATAATAATAATTAGTTGGTCAGTAGCACCTATTTAATTGTTTGGATGTTCTAAGCAGTGTACAACCTCAACGATATTTAAAACTCAACACGTGTTCATCCCCGATTGATAGATAACACTGAGAGACTGATGCACCATCCCGTCCTGATAAACAATGGAATGAAGGAAGGGATGTGGACTAGTCAGAGGAAAATGCCCGGATTACTAGTAGTGTGTTGACTATCAACATCAACGTCGTCATCATCATCATCACACTTATCACTCTCCTCTACACCATAGGAGGTTTATTAAATCGGCCTACTTTACAAGGTTTTGACAAGTCATTCATCAGGATATCGATGGGCAATGCTTCAGTTC